GCTGCCTTGGGGCAAGTTACTACCATGTTCTCTTTTGTTGTTGTATTTCTAGATACCAAGTCATTTTATCTTTGTCTGCACTTAGAAATACCTGATTTGTCCCCAGAAGTGTGTGTGTGTGTATGTAATCTGTAAAACATATACAGTAAAATATGATGGATATGTGCTTAAGATTGCACTGTAAAGCTATAAGTAAGATGTATTAAATATTTGTAATTCAAATATTTAGGAATATTTTTATTAATATATCTAAAATAGCTATTTTCTCTCCTTTGTCATTTCTTAGAATGAGCTGATCCTGTGCCATTTTTTTTCATTTAGTACAGTCTCTACTGTGAAAATGTATTTTAAGACATTTTCATTATTTCAGATACACAAGGAAAGACTAATCAGCTAATGTTAGAAGACTAGCAACATTCAAATGCAACAACAGATGGCATTAGAAATATTGCTTGGATAGGGAGTTTAAGATGAGGCTGAGAACCCCACATGTATTTCTGCCTAGGTGCCTAGGTTGCAGCACATGCCTCTTGATGTACAGCTGCTTTTGTCTACAGATCCCAGCTATATTTAGGCACTTGCAAAAAAAGATGAAGTGAAAACCAAAATGAATAATGATTTAAATATCCAAATCTGGTCTTACTTACCAGTTATTACAGTATGAAATGTTTACATTGAATTGTATTAACTGTGTTGCTCTCAGACTGGCAATTGACAGTTTATTATTAATATCAATTTATCCAAGCTTTGCAAAAACCTGACCATTTGGATTATAATTCTCTATACCAAGTATCAAGGTCAAAAAATATTTCCCTTTATTTTATGAGTATAATCTAAACTGTTCTCTGTGTGTACAAGAACAAGGGAAGAAAATAAAGTATTCTTTGCTGCAGTTAAACCAGAAAGAACCCACGGGGTAGTGACCTTAGAGAAGGCTTTGCACTGCTAGTTAATGCGACAGTGAGTAGGTATTTGGCAATGACAGCCATTTGTCTCTGTTTGATCAAACTCTTGACATTTTTAACTTTTGAAAATGTTCATTTATTAGATGTTCTTTGCATACTTCATAGTTTGTGGCCACTAAATCCTGACTTATGTCCTCTAGCCTCAGCCTGTTCCAAACCCTGGAATCATACTTGCATTTATGCATATGTACAATATCGGCTGTTATAGCATTCTCAAAGACTGATCATTGAAACCACTCGCACACTAGAGCTGCATGAGCTCTTCAGACACGTTGTAATTCTGTCCTGGTTTCAGCTGGCATAAAGCTAGTGCTCTTCTTAACAGCTGTACAGTGCTGTGTTTTGGCTTTAGTCTGAGAACAATGCTGATAGCACCCTGATGGTTTAGTTGTTACTCAGTAGTGCTTAGCCTGATCAAGGACTTTTCCATCTCTCATGCTCTGCCAGTGAGGAGGGTAATGGAAAGTTGGGAGGGAGCAGACAGGACGCCTTGCCCAAACTAGCCGAAGGGATATTCCTCACCACAGAGTGTCATGCTCAGTATATAAACTGGGGGGAGTTGGCTGGGAGGTGCTGATCACTGCCTGGGGACAGGCTGAACATCAGCAGTGAGTAGTGAGCAATTGTAATCTGTATCAGTGCTGTTTACTGGGTTAATTCCTCTCTTTCTCTTCGTAATTTTCCTTTATTATTATTATTGTAATAATTTTACTTTATTTCAGTTATTAAACTGTTCTTAATTGTAACCCACAGGTTTTACCTTTATCCAGTTCTCCTCCCCATACACCAGGGAAGGGGGACAGTGAGCAAGTGGCTGCCTGGTGTTTAGTTCCCATCAGGGGTTAAACCATGATAAATTCATACTTCATTGCATGGGAATTAAAATGAAATAATCTTGTCTTTGGACAGTAACTGCTTGAATTGAAATAAAGTTTAAAGGAATAATAAGTATCTCACAAAGTGTGTCATGGATTGGGATGAGTTAAGTTAAAATGGAGCTGTATTGGAGGATTGGATTTGGAAGCTGGGAAGAATATTGAAGTTTAGGACTAAAAGTACATTTTTTTCCTAGATACCATAAAAAGATAACACTGGAATTTTGTTTGGTGAAAAATGCTAGCATAATTCAGAATTCTCATTCCAATTTGGACTAAAATAAAAATGTGGATTTGGGAATTCTAAGGTTTTTCCCTCCTCCAGTAGATCCCTTAATTACATATTTCCTTACTGTTTCCTAGTCATATCAAGTAAGACTGGCACCATATGGAAACACAGAGTAGTCTTCATGGAAAGAGTGTTATTAATTAGAGAGTTAACTGCAAGGTTAATGTCTGGTCCCAAGACAAATATTAACAGTGTGTTTGGTAAAGAAGGGGCAGAACAGCTGAAATGATGTGTTGTGCAAGGCCCTGAATGAGACAGCTTGAACTCTTTAATATTATATTACAGTGTCAGTCAGTGTCATATTCTGGTGAACTTTAACATGGAGTTAGAGATAGCATATGGTATCTTACAATGGAGTATTAATGTTTGTATACCTGATATAAGCAAGTAACTGATTTTTATTACTGCAATATGAGTTGTTTCAGTACTCGGTATTCAGTGTCTTAGAAAGTCAACCTGCTGATTTTTAATACAGGGGTACATGGTGAAGTTTTAGGCTCACCTGTAAGGACAGGTTGGTGTGAGGATATTTCAGTGAAGCTGCAAGATTTTGGAGTGCCTGAGAATGTAGTCTAAATTGCTACAGATACAATATGCAATCAAAATTGCTAATACTAAAATAACTATAAGATGCTTTGAGCATTAAATCCCTTATTACAATTTTTGTCAGTAATTAAGTTATGCACTTTTGATCTTAAAGCATTAACTAAGATCAACTCAACTGTTAAATGAGTCTCTTGCTGAAAGTACACATTTTCTTTTACAGTGGTGCTGAAACAGTGAATGCCATTTATCTGGTTCTCTTCTTGCACTGACATCATCACTCCAGTCTCTGAATGTTTTTCAAGCATATATTATATATTCCTGTGCATCAGAAGCTTTGTGACAGTGGACTGATTAAGTGATGAAAGCTAACATTTTAGACAGATTTGGCATTTGAATTGGTTACAAAGGTATGTCCATTTTTTTAATGAATAAAAATGTTAAAAACATTTAAAATGTTTCAAAATGTTTGATGTTCCATAACAATTCTTGTGAGCAGTATCTGGGACTTGTTAAATGTTTCAAAACTTCATTTTCTGAATGCCACCATTTTTCTACTATGTTTTTAGAAGTTTTAGTATATTGATTTATATATGCTTTTAAAAGATACTTCAGAATTTTGTAAAGCTGTTTCCTGTGTTCTGATGTATATACACATCATATGAAATACCCATGTAATATGCCATAGCATAACAGTATACACATTTTAGTATTTAATTCTATATTAACTTTTATTTCAGAAATCATTATAACACTTCACCAGATGACTTTGAATTAAATCTGGTCTGTTAATGCTTTTATTTTGGTAAGGTTTATTTCCACCCAGTTACTTATAATGTACCAGAAATAGCAGCTTTATTTCAGGAAGAACTCCAATGCAAGCTTCATTTTTACTCATATAAATACATAATTTCTCATCTACATCCATAAGTATGCTAATCTGCTACTTTGTGTTAACCTGGCTTTGTGAGGCCTGCTGTCAGTATGATTCCTGAGGAAAGTAGTTCTAGAAATCACCTCCAAATATGCTTTTGTACAGTATTTACTTTATATCTTCGTCCTCTAAGTATTTACTATTTATGTTTGTTACCATCTTTAATACATTAATGTGTCTAATTGTAAGTGCATATAATCCATATACATAATACGTACACATCAAATTTACATTGGAACTTCATGTTGTATGTATGGTATATATTTTACTAATTTGATTCATGTATTAAATGGCTTATTCACCAAAACAAATTTTAACAGGCAAATGGCAGAATTTAACAAATAATGTTGGTTTGTCTTTTTCCACTAAATAATGTAACTCCAGCTTTTCTCAGTGATAAATTTCTGTACATCTACATACCAGTAACAAACTTCATTTGTTGGAGTTAGGCCAACTCTCAAAATTGCCTGCTACTTCTAAAAGCCCAGCAGAACCTGAGCAAGTTCAACAAAGGGCAGCTGCAGTACAGAATGGCTTGAGAGATGTTTGAAAGATATTCCCTTCCTGCTGCTCTGAATGGGTAGCTGTAATGAAATAGCTTGACCTTTAATTCAGAGTGTTCCTATTTGTGTTGGTATGAAATAACTTCATACTTAATTTCAGCTTGTTTTTTTTTTTTTTAAGACACAAAATTTAAGAATACAATTTTTTTTGTGGCCATTTTATATGATTGAAGAAAGCTGAAAGTACAAAACCTACTTTTCCTCAGTTTTCAAAGCAAATAATAGGTCAATCTTTCCCATAATCCATAAATTCTAAATTCCATACAAATCTACTCAGAACACAAAATGGAGCCAAAGATGGTTTTCAGTGATCATTAAGCCTGTCACCTGACCTCTGAGTGTCAGAGTTGGAGCTCAGCACAATTTTAAGAGCAGTGTTTGACAAATGATTTCTGAATTTGAAAAATTTGTTCTTGACCTCCTTTCCTAGCATTTCAGATGGAGAAATTCTGTAACTGACTATTAGTTGTCTTAACCACTGGACTGTCACTCTTACCTCCGTGTGTTTGCTAAGGGTGGAAGGGTAGGGTTCTTCAGTCATACTTCATGGAGCTGAATTGTCTTCCTAAGCTGCTGCAGCTATTTGCCCTGGAGTTCTTTTCACCAGTGTAAAGTTAGGCCCTGAACAGTGGTACATCATATTGGCAGCTATTATGCCCTATTAAGGTCTTTGCTAGAGCCTTTATTGTACTTGTCTGGTATCAGTGATTTTCACCATTATCTTCTGATTTCTGGAGAGAGCACATGGACAGAAAAATAGTGCTTCAGCTAACTTTTTCTTTTTTTTTTCTTCTAACACGTACTTTTATTTCTTTTCAGTTTTTCACAGAATACAATAAATTGGAAAGGCTGGGAAAGAACAGATCCAAGGGAAACCTGGAAAGAGTTCTGCAAGGTAAAGACAAGAACTTGTTTTCCTCCTTTATTTACATTTTAAATTGAGGTCCCAGTGTCTCAGCAAGGTGTACCTTTTTAATAACTTGCAGATCCAGCTAAGAATGGTAGTATGAGAGAAAATAGGCCTCTCTAGAATGTTCTTTACAAAGAAAGAATTGTGAAATTCTCTTCCTTATCTGTTCTTCTGCCACAGGAATTCTGCTTTATTGTCATTATTCACTGTGGAATTAATTCAGATGATCACAGCTATGGTATGCACAGGCATAGTTTGATGGGTGATGGGTATTTTTCAAAAGATCTTATATCATTGCTGAATTTTGCCATCTTACTCTCTGAGGCATATTATCTCTTATGAGAGCATAATATATCTGCCTGAGTGCAGGTACTGTACAAGAGCTTTATTTTAATTGTCGTCCCTTTCTCAGTTGGCTAAACACAGCACTGCATAATAAAATCACTGTTGCACAAGTGCAGTTGTACTGACCAGAGGTGTCATTCTTGAAAGCTCTGTTCTCTTCAGTAGGGAGCTTCTTGCTCCAGAGTAAAAATCCCGGGGCAGCAAAAAAACAAGAGGAAAAATCTTTACTTTTAATCACCTTGAAAACAGGCTTCTCAAAGCATCAGTTTTCCCCACAGCCTGCTCACTAAGCAGCTGACAAGTACAGCACAAACAAAAAAAGGTTCTCTGACTGAAACAATAACTAGCCAGACCAGAGAAAAGCCCTAATGCAAACACAGACACTATGTCGCAGTAGCATTCCCTTGAATCTACACCAAAGCCTTTTTCAGCCACAACAGTAATATATAGGTTCTTGACAAGGAAGTGAATTTTTGATGGAGGTGGCAGTATCATATAGCTTTCCTGCTCTTTTATCAGCATAGCAATGGAGTTGTCTTCTATCAAGAAAAAGGGAAAAATGCCAAGGGAAATAAAATCAACCAGGCAAACTTCTTACATTTGGACTGATGAGCTCTACGCCCTTGTTTGGAAAATTTAAAGCACTACAAGCTCAGAAGACTTTTTGCCAATGCAGCTTTAAATGATAATTCAAAGGCTTTTGTGAGATTTCTCACAACCTACTTTAATAAATCCAGTTCTGTTGTGGGTTTAACAAGTGCTTGTACCGTGTGTTAGGTAGCAATACTGTAGGGACATCTTAGATTTTGATGGCTGTGGTTCTGTGGTGTTGCTTTGCTTTTGGAGGTTTTGAACAGAGGTTTGACAGAGAGGGCAGGGATACTCGAGAAGATAATCCTGGGGGACCCTCTGGTTACAGGCACTTTAGGAAAAGAGACTTGGGAAAAGTTCAGATGTAGATTCATATTTAATCTTTCAAACTTGTCCATCTTTTTAACCAAATTTTAAATTTAATTTAATCTTCACAACTATACTCCAGATAGGAATTTACTGCAGACATTTTCTCTGTTCACTGATACTCTGGGGATGGAATAATTTTAGTTGAAATACACAGAACTAGGTTGAACTTGCTCTATCCCTGTTCCCAGCCATCTGGATTAATTTCTCTCATCTGATAATGAGTCTCCATCATCATTTATTCTTCTAGTAGATTTTTGGACCTGTTCTCAACTCTGCAATCTCTAATATTGCCTTAAGAGTTTGCAAAGATAGCCTGGAAGGTAGCTGCAAAGGCATTCTCATTACTTTAATGAGTTTCTGACCACTGATCCAGGCCATCAGCCCTATATTTAATTAAAGTAGCACAAACTGTGTATCCACCAAATGTCTAGGCAAAGGTCAACAATCTGTTCTGGGCACCAGCACTCTTGTTATTGTTGTTAGGACTAGAGGGAGGCTCTAAAAAAGATAGAAACCCTCAATTCAGGGCTTTTTAGGGGTGCTGTTGTCATGTTCCTTTTCCTTTATTAACCTTGAACTGCCTCAGACACCTGCCTGCCTCCTCCCATCACTTTTTTTTAGGATATACTTGGCTGTTCAGCTCTCTGAATCCCAGTTAATGTCACATTCACAACCATCTCAGTTTCAAGACTGGGACAGGAATGGGGCTTCATAGATAACTTGGAGAAGAGAAGCTGTGTGGTGACCTCTTAGCAGCCTTCCAAGTATCTGAAGGGGACCTTCAAGGATTCAGGAGAGGAACTCCTCATCAGGGACTGTAGTGATAGGACAAGGGATGATGGATTCAAACTAAAACAGGGGAAGTTCAGGTTAGATATAAGGAAGAAGTTCTTTACTGTGAGGGTGATGAGGAACTGAAACAGGTTGCCAAAAGAAATAGTAAGTTCTCCATCCCTGGCAGTGTTCAAGGCCAGGTTAGACAGAGCCTTGGGTGACATGGTTTAGTGTGAGGTGTCCCTGCCCATGGCAGGGGTGTTGGAACTAGGTGATCTTAAGGTCCTTTCAAACCCTAACTATTCTATGATTCTAGGAGGCTATGACAAGGGTGAGGTAAAAAGAGACCATCTGTGACTTGGGTTGTTTTAAGCTTCTGTAGGGCAGCACCTTTCCACCCTCCACTCTAGCATGTAGATGTGTAATATAAAGGTTTTGAAAAATCTTGTGTATGTTTTGATCCCTTCTGTTTCTCCAGCTTTTACCCCTGTTACGGCCTGAGGCAAATTCAGCAGAGGGGAAACAGATGCCCTTGCCCAGTCTGCTCCCACGTAAAAGGAGTGCTTTTGATGCTAAGGTAAGTAGGGTTTCTTCAATACTCAGATTATTTTCTCCTTCATAAACAAACAAGAACCGCTTTGGCAGTAGAAATATGGGGAAGCAGTGTTTAGCTAGACCATAGAAACTATCTAGGGAACTGAATTGCTTTATAAAGCATGATTTTTTTTTATATTTAATGTTAATTCTGTGAGCGTGGAATGATCAGGACCATTTCACAAAAGGCTATAGTTCTGTTCTGATATCTGAGGTTTTAGAAGACAGGTAATTAACAACTGCCAGCATAAAGGCAGGTGTGGATTTTATTACAAGCATTACTTTCTGATGACTTGAATGACTTTGACCTCGAAATGTTAATCTTACTGAACTCCAGAGCAAATATCAAATGTCAGGAAAATCCAAATAGAAGTGTGGACTTTGAGTACTTAAATTAGTCTACGTTTAAACAGAAAGGGGTTTACAACTTATTAGCAGAGCTGTCCCTCAACTCTAATATGAACAGAAATATTCTGTGGTTAGCTGATAGAGAAGTAAGAGCAGAGAAAGATGATAACCTTCCATATTAATGTGTGAACTGCTATTCAGAGTCTAGCTGCCTAGGGCAAAATAGTTATCTTTTTGAATTGATACACCTTTCCAGAGCCAGGAGACAATGCTTAGACACCTGAAGTCTGTGCCACCTATTACCCATTGATCCCTTTCTCTTGTCATGAGAGTTGTAATGCTGCTTTTCCTGAGCCATGTCTACAGCTGCAGTAGGTTTTACATATAGCTGAGCCTGTGGCTCTGCCTCTGTATCTGACTGACTAGCAGCAGATTGTCCTGTACCAGAAGCAACTATACTATAAACTAGTCAGCCTTGGCAACAGTTTGGGGACAGAATAGCAGAGAGATTTAAGGTTTAATAGGAGACAACCAGCCCTGCTTTGAGACATTTTTTCTTTTTAATTCTTTTCAGTCAAGTTGCCTGAAGTGAGCACCAGCACGAGTCACATTGTAGTTTTCTCTGGGAGCTGAATTTCAGTAGCTTTACTTTTATAATGGCTGGTGGGATTCAGCTGCCTAGTGTGTTTCGTTTTCCTTAAAAGAAGCTCCTAGTATTTAGTTTAACATACATGGAACAAATATAAAAATACTGATCAATAAAAATATTTGCGTTTGAATTACATCTTAAAAAATGATATGAATTCCCTCTTACATTTTTTGTGGGTGCAAATAGAAAATGTCTTCCCTAAAGACTGAAATCTACTTCACAAAAGTACAAAGACAGAACTGGACTTTTACCTGCTTATGGTAATTGTATTAACTGCTTGGGCATGCAATATGAAAAAAGCAATGCAGCTAGGTGTTTCCCAAATGCTGATATACTATTAAACAAATCTGTTTCTGATGTGGTTGGGATTTTTGCATGCTCTTCACTCTAGAGCTTTTCTTGTTTCTGTGCTGCTGCTTGTCCCCTGCTGGTTTTGGTATTGCTCTCTGAAACAAAACTTTACCACTTTTATTTTTTTATACATACATATATAAATATATGTACATACGTATATGGAGAGCACGTGCCTGTGTATACATATGTGAAATCAAAGTATATACAGAAGTAATTTCATGTGTAAGCTTCTTTTCATTCAACAAAGGGTACTATGAGAAATGAATGGAAAATCATTGATGCTTGGTTTGAAAATAAGTAAGATTTTCCTGTACTTACTTAACAAGGAGCCATAAACCAACTATAGTAACCTTGAATGCATTAGTACAGAAAGTGCTATGTGGTAATCTTTTATAGGTTCACATTTAAAGAGAAGGAAATCTTTTACAACAATGTGGGAATGCTTTTCCCTGTAGTATCATTTTTTAAGAGGAGTGAAGACTTCTTTGTGCTCAGAAAACTGCACAGATATAATTCTGTGACTAGCGGCATTCCCACTAGGAAAAAGCAAGAGGTATTTTTGCTGTTGTTTTGTATTGATTTGGCAGCTATGTAAACTCTTTCAGTAAACCTGTTAGCAATGCCAAAGTGATCTTTTACTTTGGGTTACTTGCAAAAATTCACAGTTAGTTTTGCAGCTCCACTGTGTGACCCCAGCCTACAAATCTTTCTTGTAATGTCATGGGCTCTGTCCATCTTAGGTCATAAAAATACCATATATAGGGCAACATGGCTAGAGGAAACAGATATGTCTTTTGGCTGCAGCTCCCCAGATATTGTAACTTTTGGACAGGAAAATGTATTCAAAGAGGACTGTTCAGCATTTCTGTAGCCTTTTTTTTTCCATAAGGAGTTTATTACGAGAACTTTATATCTTTAATTATACTAGTCAGTTTTGCTAATAGCACATTATGCATCTTTCTTCTGAAGAAAACAATGCAATATCTATCTGCTTCAAAAGCAGCTGTTGGAGATGGGTGGTTGTAAACACTCTTTCACTCTGTGCATTTGCATTCACCCTCAGTGAAAGTTTCCTAGTGCTCCTCTTCTGTCCTGGCACTTGAATTCCTGTATAGTGCCCTGAGAGCTCCCTTGATCTTAACAGAGTCCATGACTATTGTCATGCATGCACATGGAAAAGTTCTTTGCAAATAACCTCATGATTTGGGAAATTCTGTTGTTGTGTACCTAGAAGAGGAATTTATGAATAATTATTATCAGATATGTCAGAGTTTTCTCCTGGTTTGTTCTTAAGTTTACGTGTGATATAAATATGCAACTTTCTTTAAGAAACACAAGTACTGGATGCCACGTATTGTTCTTAGAGAAGTGCCCAAAGCTCGTTACTATGTTTGATACTTTTTCATGTAAGTCTGTGGATAAGGAAGTGTTGCCAAGAGGGAATGTGGGGTGGAATGAGCAAGAAGGGAACCATACCACTCAGTGAAATGACAAAAATTTAAGTGGGATGAGTTAAGTTGAGTAGATAGCAGTTTCTGTTTTCTGTTCTGAGGTTTCTATTCTGTTATATCCATGCATGTTAACACTCACAGCAGTTAAGGCCTCTGTCTTTCTGGCCCAAGATAGGGAGGCTTCACATGCACGGGGGAAGAGGACTCTCCCTCTGTCAGGTTGCCGTACCTCAGTCCTATGTGGAGACCCGACCTGTACATCATGGTAATACTCAAGCTCATATTTCTGTAGGCTGTAAGATGTCTATAAATGGAGATGAGTAATTCCATCTTCTTTTGAAATATCTAAGAAATATATTGTTGGAAAATTTGGAACTGGTATAATTTAAGATGAACATCAGCTCTGGATACTGAAGCCAGCTTTAAATATAGTACAGAGTAGCCGTGCTCCTTTACAATTCTTTTCTACTACTAAAAAAAATAAGGTTTAGTTAGGTAATGTATTCTGGTTTTCAGGTTTTTGATTTTTTATTTCTGTATGTTATAGCTACCCTGGGAGACGAGCATTCTAAGAACAGTCTTTCCATCAAATACATTGAGAGCTTCTATTTTTTTTTAACTCTTAGCCTGATTTTGTCTTTCATGGAAGATGAAATTCCTGTGAATAATCACATGTGTTAAAGGAGTGGGAACTGCAAGACAGTTCCTGGTATGATACACAAAAAATGCATTAAGGTTTGGATATAAACCTGCAGGAAGGAGGTGACTCATTCTTCAGTCACCTTGTTTTGCACTTACGCCAGGATTCAATATTGCGAAGTATAGCACACAAGTTCAGCTAATGTCTGGAGATGCTCAGTGGCAGTAGCAACTTTTAGTTCTGGATTTCCTGTCTTTGGTGGGTTTTAGTCTGGCCACTTATGTTATTTTAATGGAGACATTTCTATCTAATTTCCTTTGTTTCTTTTCAAACCATTAAAAAAGAATCAGAAAGGGGTGATATTAATAATGTATTATGCCTGAGACTTCTTCCAACGTGATCAATGTTAATGGGATCATTGAGACTCCTCTCCAGAGATCAGAATTACTCTTTATTGTTGCTGCAGATTGTGCTTTCCCTGAATGCTAAGTATGAAGCATGGTGCACTATGGTTCGCTTGTATTATCAGTGTCAATGTTGCTTTAACAACCATACCGTTACATTAAAAACTATCCATTCTAAAATAAAATTGTTTCCTAATAAATTATTTTTTAAATTCTCACACACACACACCTACCTTTTTTTTTTTTTTTTTTTACTAATTTAATCCTTGGAATATTTAATAGGCTTTAAAAGGAAAAAAAAGTTCAAAATAATTCTACTTGCAGATTTTGCAGTATTATAAAGTGTTAATTAACATATCTCCATAAAATGTCAGAGCACATTATATATCAGCCATACAAGGTGTGATGGATTGCGGATGTAGCTCAGCAAGCCATGATATATAACAAGTTTTTCAAAGTAGGTATTTGTCTCTCCTGAATGGCTACAATATTGTTAGATTTAGAGAATTCATACTGGAAATTGACAGGAACGACAAAAAATGTTTTGAATGTTCAGTTTAAAACATGAAGTTCAGAACAGATGCCTTTTCCATGGTTTTAAAGCAATATCTTTGTGTCTCTTCCTCGCATTGTTAAAGAGGTTTTCAATCTCATTACTTTCATTTTTCAAATCAGAAAATATAACATGAGTAACTGCACATGTAATAATCAGAATTAAGAATGAAGTAGAAATAACATTTAATTATCCAAGGTGTCTTTCCTAGGAATAGCCATCTATCAATTATAGTCACGTAGTTCATACATCACTTTGACAGTGAAATTTGCCCTGGTTTATGGAGGATTATCTTTAGGTATGCCTGTGTCTAGATTGAAATATCAGGGCATTTGTAATGGTGTCCAAAACCCAGGTTGTAAAGAACATAAGAGGAAGAAGGTGCAAGTGCCCACATCATAAGGGTAAAGAGTTTGGAAATGCTCTCTACCAGTCCGCAGAACAGGCCGTTGTGATGTGAGTTGTTGAATTTTGAGAAACATTTCCTTCTGATAACAGAAATCATCAAGGAGAAGCCTTCAGGAAGGTTCCCTGCAGATCTTCACAAGTGCCAAAGCATGGGCTCAGGGCCTGAGTGTGTTTAG